AAAACATTTTAGACTGCTTGCTGGAGTCTTGGGGAACCCCTGGAGAGTCTCCAACAGAAAGCTGGTACATTTTCCCGCCTTGGCAGAGCCAGCCTGCCTGTATACCAGCAGCTTAGCCATTCAACATCGTGTAAAGGTGTGCCCGGTGCCAGGCTGGCCAGTGAGCGCCCACAGGGGGGGATTTAAGGCAGTGCCCAGCGTGGTGGTGAGTCCAGTCAGTGTTGGCCAGGGTCCCCTGCTGGTCCCCACTCCTCGCTCCATCCTGCTTGCCTCTGTCCTGCTCATGTCCCACCTGCTCCGTCTCCTGTCTGTCTTGCATCCAGTCTGTTTCCCCCCTGCTTCTCTCCAGCGGCCCTTCCATGACTGCCTGAGGCTGACTACACCTGGATCTCTCACTGGGGGTGGTAACCTTTTTGTACTTTCCTTTTCCTTATCTCTCCCTCTTCTTCTCCCCTCCTGCCTCGATTTTACCATTACTTATTGCTACAAAGAAAGCAAATTGTCTGTTTGAGACCTAACATTTGGAGTTTTGTGCCTTAATCTCGCCTTCGAAGTAATCATCTAAAGAACCACATTGCAGCCCCTGACCAATCTGTAAAACCCACCAACTGCACCTGAAACCCAAAGGTTACAGGCTTGCTTTCCTGGGAAAAAGGGCTGTTGCTCTCTTTTTTCAGCCCTGCGCTGCAATGGCCGGTCCCACCTCCCCAAAATTGAATCCAACTGAAGATTCCTGCCAGACAAAAGGTGCCACCACAGAAAGCTCTTGCTGCCCACCGAGTGCCCAGGCTGCCCCACCAACTGCACATGAGAGACGGAGGGTAAGGGCTTTCTTTCCAGGGTGGAGGTAGAGTCGTGTGCTTGCAGGAGCCCTGTGCTGGAATTGGCAGTCCTTCCACCTTCCACTGTCCCAGGTTGCTCAGAGCTCCATCCAACGTGGCCTTGAACACTTCCAGGGATAGGGCATCCATAAATTCTTGGGGTAACTTGTTTCAGTGCCTCACCACCCTCACAGGGAAGAATTTTTTTCGTAATATCCCATCTAAACCTGCCCTCTCTCAGTTTGAAGCCATTCCTCCTTGTGCTGTCACTACAGGCCCTTGTAAATGCTGATGAAACTTGACTGGATATTTTTACAGCAAAGGTTATAATTTTTATTTTCTTAAGGCAGTGACAGGGATGATACCGGGATCAATTACACTTCAGAAATCTGTTGCTTGTATTAGTAGTTAAAAATAACAAACGGTATTTAAACGCATTATTTCTCGTCTGGGGGGTGCTAGAGGGCTGGTTACAGTGCCCACCACCCTCCTCTGAAGCTGTGTTACCTTCCCCACTGGGATGGGAATACTTTCAGCCAATTTGTCTCTCCAGATCAGCCCGGAAGTCTTTAAAAAGGTACTCAAAAGTATTTCCCCATTCCTACTGGTTTTGCAGCCGGTCAGATGTGTGGGGTTTATGTCCCACAGCAAATTAAAAACACCACAGCCATTATGTAAATGTGTATTTGTTTGAGTATTCACCCTGATGGTGTTCAGGCAGTTAGGCTGAGGTACTTTGTGGATTTTTGGAACAGAAATAACATCTTTTAAGGGTGTCTGTGACCGGCTGAGGTGCAGGATGTGGCCTCTCTATTTTTAGCATCTGCTGGTACGCCCATCCTGTGAGTGTTAATTTAGGTGATGCAACCTTTTAAGTCTGGAGAACTACTTCCTTCTTCAAAGCTTGCTAATTCTCATGAAAGAAATAAAGAGAATTTCATGACAGTGACCTATTTTTCACTTTGAATATCCCAACTATTGGTGAGCATTTACATTAAAATATTTGAAGTTTAATAAATTTTGCAAAATGTCCTGGATGTTGAGGGATGTAGTGATGAACTCAGAATTAGAAAGTGGAGATTGTCTTCTTTTTCTTTGAAGCTCACAGGCCTATGAAAAAAAAAGCTTTCTAGAGAAACTTAAATTTTTTTATCTAATTTGTACACATTTCTACAATTAGGACAGCTGTAGGTTCACCCCTGGCAAAATCTCTCTGCTGGTAACCCAGCCACATGCTGATTAATCCTTATTTCATGTTCAAGTGACCAGGATATTTTGGTCAGCTGGCGACAGAGCGGTCCAGGTGGTAAAGGAACAAGGACTGAACAGTATGAGCAGCGTTTGCCTTTTTCTCTCCTCCACCCCCCTTTTCTATATATTATACTTTGCCACTTTCTCTGCTCAGCACACAGGAATTTGCTGGATGCATCCATGAATGCAGAACCCACTGGAATCACGACATTTGTTCCAAATGATCCAGCTGGTGCCAGGGAAGCAGAAGTTCTGACTGTGTAACAACCACACTGTGAGGAGGAACAAGACTGAAACCCACTTTCCGTAAAGGGAAGGATTTGAACTGGTGCTGGAGATGTGCAAGGCTCTGTTATTCTCCCTCCTTAAGTTGTTGACAGGACACAGTCCCCTCTCTTACCTGTCATTGAAAGGTCCTTCTAGTTACACTTATGGCAGTGTCACTTTGTACCAACATCAGCCGTGCACTGTAAGGCTGCTGAGGTTTCCAAAATCCACCTTTTTTATTTCTGCTAGTTCTGCTTCGTATCCTTCAAGCCAGTACACAAGAACAAAGCTTCAGCAAAGCCTACCTAACATTTTCTTTTGTTTCTGACATCATTAGCCAACGTAAACCAAACCATTAACAGGCATCCAAAAATATTTCTGGAAGTTTTCACGTGCTCGGTGAGGATTCCAAAGTTTTCTTTGAGGGAGACTCAGGGAGACTCCAGAAGAAGATTTTTGGTCCAGGAAAAAAAAAATAAATAACGCAGCTGAAGCCCAGGCACCGTTGTATGAAGCAGATTGATTAACCTTAGTGCTGCTGCGTTCCCACTGGAATACACACTGGAATGACACTGGAATGCCGCCGGATTTCCGACTGGCCGCCCGGAAGCGGCTCCTGCCGTGACTCCCAGCGCGGCAGGATCGCCTCCCGCTCCCACCCGGCACATCCAGCCTGGCCTCGCCTCCCCTCGCCCGCCCCGATCCATCCCGGCCCGCCCCGATCCCACGCGATCCTCCCTCCTGCCCGGGTGAGTGCGGGGCCGCGGGACGGGAAGGGGCTGGATGGAGGCGGCGGGAGCCGGGAGGGGGAGCGGGGACACCGCGTGTCCTCGGAGCCGCTGTGCCCGGCGGTATTCCCGCTGTGCCCGGCGCTATTCCCGCTGTGCCCGGCGGTATTCCCGCTATGCCCGGCGGTATTCCCGCTGTACCCGGCGCTATTCCCGCTGTGCCCGGCGGTATTTCCACTATGCCCGGCGCTATTCCCGCTGTGCCCGGCGGTATTCCCGCTGTGCCCGACGTTATTCCCGCTGTGCCCGGCGCTATTCCCGCCGTGCCCGACGTTATTCCCGCTGTGCCCGGCGGTATTCCCGCTGTGCCGGCGGTATTCCCGCTATGCCCGGCGCTATTCCCGCCGTGCCCGGCGCTATTCCCGCCGTGCCCGGCGCTATTCCCGCTGTGCCCGGCGCTATTCCCGCTGTGCCCGGCGCTATTCCCACTGTGCCCGGCGCTATTCCCGCCGCTTCCCAGGGAGCTGCCGTGGTGTGGGAGGGAAGAGCCCTGGCGGGGAGCAGCTGCTCCCGTGTGGGGTTCTGCGCTGGGGTTTGTCCTCCAGCCCGGCACGGAAGGAATTGGGGGTGCTGGTGGATGGAAAGTTGGGGCTGAGCTGGCGCTGAGCTCCCAGCCCAGAAATCCGGGCGTATCCTGCATCCCGTTCAGCGGGCCGTGGGTGAGGGAGGGGGTTCTGCCCCTCTGCCGCGCTCTGGTGATTCTCCACCTGGAGCGCTGCATCCAGCTCTGGAGCTCCCAGCGTGAGAAGGGCACAGACCTCTTGGATCAAGTCCAGAGAAGGCCAGGAAGATGATGAGAGGGATGGAGCAGCTGCGGAGACAGGCTGGGAGAGTTGGGATGGCTCAGTCTGGAGAAGTCTCTGTGGAGACCTCCTTGCAGCCTGTCAGGACTTAAGTGGTGCAAGAAAGATGGAGAGGGACTTTTTATGAGGGCCTGTAGCTGCAGGACAAGGGGCAATGGGTTTAAGCTGAACGGTTTAGGTTTAGACTAAATGTAAGGGAGAATTTTTTTCTGCTGGAGGGTGGTGAGGCATTGGCTCAGGTTGCCCCGAGAAGCTGTGGATGCCCCATCCCTGGCAGTGCTCAAGGCCTGGTTGGATCCTGTTGGATGGGGGTTTGAGCAACTAGATCTTGTGGAAGGTATCCCTGCCCATGGCAGGGGGCTTGGAACAGCTGTAATAACCAGCAGAAGGCTACAGAACAGCCCGTGTTGTAAATGAAGCTGCGTTCTATGAGTAGTAAATATCTGAATGTAACTTCTTTAAATCAGTGTGAATGAGCTGAGAGGTTGGTACAATGGATTTAGGTCTGGAATTCAAAACTGTTAATCCAGGCTTGGTTGCATCTGTGTTGCTGTCATTTGGGGATGTCAGCTTTAGATCTTGGTGCCTTCAGCAGCATCTTCAGATCTTGCTGTCAGTCAGGGACTGATTTTCAGCCTTTAATTTTTTACGCATTCCCTTGCCTCGTGCTGCAGTTGGGAATGTTCATTCTCTCAGGAAGGAGGTGATGTGAATTCCCTCCTGCAGGGCTGAGGTGACCCTCGGTTACTGTTGAGGGACAGGCTGTGCAGGAGCTGCTGATGAAACACTGCCCAGGAGTTAGTGGGCCAGCAAGGGTGTCCTGCTGCACAGAAGAACTTAGTGCTGCATGTAAATACCAGAACTGGAGTTTAAGTTTCAAAGTACGGGATCTGTGTAAATAAAAGTATCTCAACAAATTGATAGCATTTCCTATCAAATGGGTGTAGGGAGTAGAGCTGTCATTTTTACTTAGAAATTATGGCATTAGCACGTTCAAACTTCTCAGGTGTTGGCTTTCCAGACTTGCACAGTTACCTACCATTACTTGATTTCCCCCTTAACTTTCCTGAGAATTTGGCAGCCAAAGCATTTGTAGATCAACTTCTTTATTTTTGCATAATGGTACACAATCATACTCTCTGCCTGGGAAAAACAAAGTAAATGACTTTCAGCTTTAAAATGAAATGTCTGTGCTTGTATGAAAGAATTCTTTTTGTTCTACATAAACAAAGTTTGACAGCTCGACAGGACTGAAAGCAGAATCTTGGCCTTTTAGTTCTTAAACTGGTAAATTTTACAAGTTTTAAACTTGTAAATGTAGTAATTACAGAGCATCAACAGGAAGGCCTAACAATGTTCCCTGTCTTCTGTAAACTGTTAATGCTTTGGAGCAAATAGTGAGGCTCTGAAACCAGAGCTGTTCCCGGGATACTCTGATATCCCACTGGGTAGGGGAAGAGTTGTTGCTCTGGGCCCGTGAGCTCTTGAGGTTGTGTTGCTGGTTGATTGTTTTGGTCCTCTCTCCTCTTGAACAGGAACCATGCCCAAGGAAGGAGGGAAGCATGCTGAAATGGGAAAAGAAACACAGGCACAGTGTAAACGAGCAAAGCTGGAAGCAGCTTGTTCTCCCTCAGTCCTGAGTTTTGAGAACCCAGACAGCCTCTTCGGGAGCTTGATCTCCCCCATCAAAGAAGAGGTGTTTTTCAAGGAGTACTGGGAGCAAAAGCCACTGCTCGTGCAGAGCAATGATCCCCTGGTGGCTGCTTACTCCCTGTCCCTGTTCCAGCTGTCAGACTTGAAGGAGCTGTGCAGCCAGGGCCTGTACTATGGGCGAGATGGGAATATCTGCAGTGTGTGAATGGAGAGAAGAAGGTTTTAAATAAAGAAGGCAAAGTGAATTACATGCAGCTGAAGAAGGATTTTGACCAGAAAAAGGCAACAATACAGTTTCATCAGCCTCAGAGATTTAAGGTGGGATTGTTTCACTGGATATAATTGATGCTGGCTCAATAATGTGGTGTGTTTGAGTTGCACTAGGCATGGCTTCATCTCTGTGCCCAGGGGAAGTGGTTGACATTGATGACCTGCTGAAATCTTTACATGAGCTGTATTAAAACACAGTTTATACTTTTGCACTGTCCATCACGTTTCACTGCTCTGCAGTAAGAACAAAATCTGATTCATGCTATAATATGTGTAATAATATATTCTTTTTAAAATTTTGCTCTGTCACATAAAAGTTTGGAAACAAAAACAAATGCACAAAATTGATGATTAGGCATCTGTGCTTAAATTATCCCTTCTGCCCCACTGTTTCCTTGTGCAAACTTTGTGGCTTTTGAGCCACTTCCCTTTAATGGAGGGTAAGGTGTGAAACCATGTGAAATATTTCCAGTGTTCTTGCCAGTGAATTGCACCATGGAAAGGTACCAGCCCATTTTAGCTGAGTGTTCTCAGTCCTTGAGTTTGAGAAGGAGACAGTGGTGCTGCACAGTTGTGTAAAGGACTTGGATTCTTGGAGGTGCTTTGATTCAGGTAGCCTTGAAGGTGTCAGCACAATTGAATTGTGAGGTGGACCCAAATGAGATCCCAAATACAAGCTGAGTCCCAGGTATAGTGTTCCTGGCTGCTGTCAGCTTTAATGGCCAAGCTGCACTTGTGTGGATCTGGTACTTGGCACGTTCTGCTGTTTCCCTTCGGTGCCTTGTCTGTCACATGTGGGGTGTGGATGAGTCAAGTTTGGTTTTGAATATTCCCAAATGATTGGAGTAACTGGTGAAAGGTCTCTAACCTTTGTATGTTCTCTCTGGTGAGAGAATGCAGGTCCTGCATGTGCTTATTGTCTTATGGTGTTCTGCTGTTTGTGGGGTTATTTTCCTCTGTTCAGCCTTGTCTGTCTGGTTGTGCAGCCTAAAGATGGCACAGGGAAGAGAACAAACCCAGGTTGGGGCACCAGACTTTTTGGCTTAGCAGTGACTCTCCTGGCAGATCCCCTTTGCATCTCCAGTGCTCTCCTTCAGGAGAAACACTGGTACAGAGCACCTTCCTTCCCAGCCTCTGTGTCCCTGATGTGATCATTCTTCCCAAGCCATGGGGAGGATGTGGGCTGGGCTTGGCTGAGCTCTTCAGCAAGTAACAGCATCTTTTTTTTTACAGGAGGAGCTGTGGAAGATTTTCAGGAGAAGCTGGAGTGCTGCTTTGGGTCTCTGGTGGGGTCCAATGTTTCCATCACTGCCCAGGGATCCCAGGGCCTTCCTCCTCACTATGATGATGTTGAGGTAGGACAGCACAACCTTGCCTGGGAAATTGTGCATGGGCTTTTGCTGATGGCAGTGTTTGCTGTTGTGTGTGTGCTTCTAACCCTCCCCCCCACTAAACATTATAGGAAAATGTGGGGTTTTTTTATTTGTGTTTCCTTGTAGTCGTTTTTCTTACATATTTTTGCTGAAAATTTACTAATAGTAATATCTAATCATAATAGCATGTAAACTGGGTTTTCCAGACCTGGTATTTCCCTTAGATAAAAAGAGAAGTTTGTTTTCACAGCTGCAGAAGCTTTCTAGCACCTGTTTTTTCATTTTCACTTCATTCAGGCCCCAAGAATTTACAAGTCCTTTTCCCTTTACTAAGTACTTGCTCTTTCTTCAGCTGGACTGTAACAGCAGACTGGTTGTGCTTGTTGGTCCTGCTGTTTTTACGAAGTTACTGGTATGATGAATTCCTGTGGTCCAAATGCATTTTAAATCAGCTTCTAAAAGAAACATACAAAGATACACTGCGTTATAAAGAAAAAATTAGACTATCCCACTTAAACCAAATCAAAAAATCCAATCCTTATATGTATATTTTGCTTTTTAATATTTTCATTTCCATTCAATACACCTGGAGTTTCATTTTCCTTATGCTTGTTATTCAGCAGCCTCACATCCAGCATTTCTAACTCATGCCATCTACCCCCATTGGGCACCCTATAGAGGTTTCTGATGCTCTGTTGGGGATAAGCCTCTTTCACCTGAAATTTTGGATATTTGTGTGGCAGATGTTCCTTTTGGGTTAGTTCTCTAGCACTTACTGAAGTGACTGGAGAGAAACAGGGATTTCCAAATGCCTGCCTTAGGATAAAACAGATCCCACTTCACAACTCCTCTGTCTGTTGTCTCTAAATAGAGACAAAAAAAATTAGTTCAAATTTAAATTTCTCTGAATTGTAGCTGTCTAAAAATTAATGTGAAAGGAATTACTTCCTTATAGATTTGGATTGATGGTCTTTTGCAGGTGTTTATCCTTCAGCTGGAAGGCGAGAAACACTGGCGGCTCTATAAACCAAGGGTGCCTTTAGCTGGGGAATATGATGTGGAATCAGAAGATAGGATTGGGAATCCCACACGTGAGTTCATATTAAAGGTATGAGAATTTCATTGCCTTAGGTGGTCTGGGCTGTGATTGCCAGACAAGTTAAAAGTGGTCCATTTCTTGAAGGCAGTGATTGTGGCTGTGAGACTGAGGGGAGGGTTTGCACACTGCGAGCACGAGAAATTTGGGTGAGAGTTGTCTGTATCCTTTTTTAAAGGTATCCTTTGCTTCTAGTATTTAAATAATGGGCCAAAATGCCCAGTTATTTCTGTAAATTGACTAGTACTCTCCAGGTTGGGCACCCTGACTCCTAGGTCATGTTTGTGGAGTTGTGTGCAGAAAAAACACTGGGTTTGTGTATGGTTCTAAAACATTTTTATGCTTTTACATGCTGCCTGTAATCCCTCAGGCTAATCCTTCTGTGCACTGAGACTTACTGCTGCACTGAACATTGTCACTGTTCTGGTGAATGAGATTTAAATATTTATCCTTGGCTGATAAAGAAAAGCATGACCCAAACCCCATATAAACTTGCTGTATTAATTGCTCTTCCTTTTTCCAAACCTGAAATTCAAGTGTTTGGTTGGTGGTTGATTTTTGGAATAAAAGGAACATTTCATGAAGATTACTGAGTGTCAGCAGGGAATCTGGTGCTTGTCCTGTTCTGTTTGACCTGCTTTTGAAGTGTTACTTGTCCAGCTGGTGGTGCTGCTCCATGCTGGAATCCTCAGGAGTTTCTCTGCCTTTTGGCCTGTTATGGAGCCTCTCTCTGCTCTTCTCAGTGTCCAGAGCTGCATTTGGGTGTCGGTGTTTGAGGAATAGTGTGACATGTTGGATGGTGTAGGTGTTTTAGGAACAGTGTGACACATTGGATGGGATGCTGACATCATGAGCTGTGTTGTTTGACAGAGGGGAATATTCAATCGTCATCGTGTACTGGGTGATGCAAAGTCTGGTAAACTACAGTTCCCTTTTTCATTCCTGGAATATTTTGGACCAGACTTCAGTGCCTTTCATTTTTATGGAATAATGATGGGCTTAAAAGTTATCCAAGTTTTTAATTTATTTTTCTTCTGTTTGCTGTTGTTCACTTCCTGTGACCCATTTCTTCTGGGTGGCTGCTGTCAAAGTTTGGTTGTCTCTTTGTGGCTGCCTCTGAGAGGGATGCTGTTGTTTGACTCTATTTCCTCCCTAAACATCTTTCTAGAATATTTCCTTTCTCCATCTTTCAAATGAAGAGAATTCAGAATACTCTTGGTTGGTGTAGTCCCCACTCTGGTAAGGAAGGCAGTTTTCTTTGACTGTGCTGTCCAACTCTGTAGGTGTTTACAGGACAAGCCACAAGTAAACTTTTATTTCCTTCTTGGAGGCAATTTTATGTGCTTTACACCTTTCTTGTCTTGACTTTCCTTATCTAGTTTTTTTTCCAGTGTGGAGTTTTAATTTACATAGGTGAGAAGAAAGATAGGGAGGAGGAGGAGGAAGGTCGTACCTGTTTTTTAAGTGCTTTAACTGAAAATCTCAGACAACAGTATTGTAACAGATTACCATTTTTATAGACTATTTGGCTTTTCTCGTGGAATACTAACCTTTTCTTTTGATGTGATCTGACCAAATCCCCATTTCACTGCTCCTCTGCCAGCCCACTGTGTTGCCAGCAGGTCCATCTCAGCTGCTTCTTTGTCCTCTTCCTGCAGCTCAGTGGGAGTCTGTGTGTTCTGTGATGTTAAAAACCTTGTTTCACGTTTTCAGCAAATATTGACAGCAGGTTGGAAAGTTTAAGGTTCTGAACTTCTGGCTTAGTGTTCTTTATGTTATTAAAGTGTACATTGCAGGACTGCTCCATTTTGTGATTCTAAAGGATATATATTGTCAGACTGTCTGCTCAGGGAGTATTTTCTCTGACTGCAGTAAGGTTTGACCTGGTGCCCTAAATATATCAATTTTCTTGCAGCCAGGTGACTTACTGTACTTCCCAAGAGGGACCATCCACCAAGCTGACACTCCTCTTGGGACCTCCCATTCCACACACGTGACCATCAGTACCTACCAAAACAAGTAATTATTCTTTATCTTTTGTTTTGTGTGGCTTTCCTCTGCCAAGTGATGTGTGTGAGCAGTACAGACCTGAGATGTGGTGAAGTTCTGGGGCTTGGGGGAAGGAGGGGAGCAAGAAGACTGTTGTTGTTTGAAGCAGCCTGTTTGAGAGGTTTTCATGCAGCAAGCTTGATTGCTTTTTAATTGCTTATTTTATTATTTACCAGCTGTAGGCTTTAATGTGGAAAATGCTACAACTGCAAACTCACTTCTGTATTTAAAAAAATCTCTCATCAGTGGCTGAAGTTACTGTTCATTTCATAGCTCAGATAAAGAGCCATGAGTTACTCCTTTCATCATGTTTTCTCCTGTATTTGATAGTCACCTGCACTAATCTTCTGACAGATTTGCTGCCAATTCTTCCTTGCAAGCAAACATTTTCTGCTTATCTGTGGGTTTTTTTTATCTCCTACCCCATGTATGCAAGTCAGATTTCTTATGACACACTCCCAGTCCTTGTGCCCACACTGTTATCACACAGGGAAATGTTCTTGCCAACCTAATCAGCCTCCCAGATGCTGGGTTTGGAGCCATTGGTCTGAGTTAGGAATTAGGAAGGGCAGAACAAGTTTGGGCATATTCTAGATAACTGTGAGATGAATCTCTAACCACCAGCTGTGCCATTCTGGAAGCCAGGATGGGCTGGTAACTCTTCATCTGGCCACTCCTCCAACATGGAGAGAGGGTTAAGAGGAAGCTGCTCAAAGGTGTCAGTCTTCTCAAAAGTTGGGTTCAGATGATTTCAATTTACACACGTGTTCTTTTATTCAGAAGGTAAAAAAAAAACTAACCCCAAAAAACAGGAGAGGAAAAGGAAAAGCTGCTCTTCTTCCAAGGTTAAAAAGTGGAGTCATCCCCCGTTAAGGCTGTTGGTGATGAAGTGCTGACATCCTGCCTCTGCACCTCCTGTCAGCAAGGGCAGGGAAAACAAGCAGGAGTCCTGGTGCAGGCTGGTGTTCTGACTTGTAGATGGGAGTATGATCTGGAAGCATTTCCTTGGCAAATTGAAGAGAAATCCTTGAAAGCAGCTGTGGAGGAAGTGCTGGTGGAGGTGGCACTTCCAGGTATTTTCAGGTTTGTCTGGGCCAGATCCCAGCAGGAGAGAAGTGTGCACATGTGGGATAAGCAGGGCAGTTTGGAAAAGCAGCCCCTTCAAAGCCCGGCTCCCCCCAGCTCCCTTTGGGGGTGACCCCCCGCCCCTCGCGCTCCCTTTGGGGTCCCCCCGCTCTTTCCCCCCCGCCGCTTTCCCGCCGTGCCCGCCCCGCTCACCCGACAGGGCGGGACCGGCAGGGACGGGGCGGGGACGGGCCGAGCGCTGATTGGCTGCGGCGGGGGCTCGAGAGGCGGGGCGTGCGCAGAGCGCCATGTTGTCTGCGGGGCAGCGGTAGCGGTGGAGGTGCGGCTGCGCTCGGAGAGCGCGATTCTGGGGATCCGCTCGGGGCTGCGGGGAGCGCGGCTGTGGGTGGGAAGGCTGGAGGGCTCGGGAGGGTTTAGCCGAGGGGTTCGGGGGTTCCCGAGGGTCAGAGCGCGGGGCCTGGAACCCGCGCGGGGGGAGGTGGGGCTGTCCCAGCGCCCTGGCTGCACTGCGCAGGCGCGCCGGCGTTACCCGCCGGCATTACCCGCGACCTGCCATTACCCCTCCCACCACAGCGCCCCCTGCCGGCCCGGCGGACCGACCCCAGGGAAAGGGGATCCCAATGCCCCCCCCGAACCCCAGAGACCCCAAAGGGAGGGGGGCCCGGGGGTCCCCTAAAGCCCAGCAGTGGGGTTCAGGGGATCTCCCAGCCCCCAGGGGAAGGAGTCCTGGGGGCGCCCCCCAAAGTCCGGGGGGGAGATGTACCACATCCAGGTAAGGGGCTCCCAGTGCCCCTCAGTACGGCCCAGTAACCCCCTCAGTGACCAGCCAGTGTGTCCCAGTGACCTCCCACTGCCGCCCAGTATGGCTCAGTGATGTTCCAGTGAGCGCCCAGTAACCTGCCAGTGTCTCTCCCTGTGTCCTGATAATCCCCCAGTAACTCCCCAGTCCCTCCCAGTGCCCTCCCAGGATCCCTCAGTAACCCTCTAGTCCCTCCCAGTGCCCTCTGGTTCCCCCCAGTGTGTCCCAGTATCCTCCAGTAATCACCCAGTGCCCTGCAAAGCCCCCCAGCTGTCCCCAACGTGTCCGCAGATGTCCTTGGCCTTTCTGTGAGCGTGTGGGGGGGCATTTTTGGGGTCAAAGGGTCCAGGGGGGGCTCCTGGGGTGAGATGGAGGGTTGGGGACATCAGGGATGGGCTTGGGGCCAGTGGAATTGGGGGTGTCAAGGGGGGAATAATGGCAATGGGGAGGCCCTGGGGACACTGGAGACACCAGGGTTGTCTTGGAGTGTCAAGGGGGAATTAGGAACACCAAGAGGGTCTTGGGGAAACCGGGGAGGTCTCAGGACTCAGCTGCTCTTGGTGCAGCCCCTCATCTCCCCCACAGACCTCTTTAACCTCCCCATATGTCCCTTAACCTTCATTTTCCCTTTAGTCCCCTCCCCCCACAGATCCCTTTGATGCCCCAATGCCCCGAAAACCTGTTTTAACTCCCCCAAATACACCCAAAGACCCCTAAACGCCCCCAAATCCCCATCCAAACCCCCAGATCCCTTCAAATCTCCCCCAGCCCCCCCCTCAAATCCATTCCAACCCCCCCCCCAAAGAGGGGGGCACCCTGGCACCCTGGGACAGGAACACAGTGGGCTGTACTGGGGGCACTGGGCTGTACTGGGAGGGCACTGGGGGGGCTCAGGTGTCCCAGGACAACGTGGCCCAGCTCCTGGAGAGATGTGGGGAGCAGTGAGGAGGTACTGGTCTGTCCTGGTCTGTCCTGGTCTGTGCTGGTCTGTACTGATCTGTCCTGGTCTGTACCCCCAATCCCCAAAGCCCCTCCCCAGCTCCCCCAGGACCCTCCCGCACCCCAGTTCCCTCCAGGCCCCTGACTTGGTCCTGCTGCCCCTTGAGCATCTGCAGCTGCTGCAGAACCAGGCATTTCATCAGCAAATGTGCAGGTGACCCCAAGCTGGGGGTGTGTTGATGTGCTGGAAGGCAGGAGGGCTCTGCAGAGGGACCTGGCCCAGCTGGATCCATGGGCTGATTGCAAGGGGATGAGGTTCCAGCAGGCCAAGGGCCGGGTCCTGCCCTTTGGGCACAAGAAGCCCCGTCAGCCCCCCGGGCTGGGGCCAGAGTGTCTGGAGAGCAGGCAGGCAGAAAGGGAGCTGGGAGTGGGGATGGACAGGAAGCTGAAGAGGAGGCAGAGTGTGGCCAGGTGGCCAAGAGGGCCAATGGCTGGTGTCCTGTGTGAGGAAGAGTGTGTCAGCAGGAGCAGGGAAGTGATTGTTGGGCTGGAGTGAGCGCTGGTGAGGCCACCCCTGGAGTGCTGTGTCCAGCTCTGGGCCCCTGAGTTGAGGAAGGCCCTGGAGGGGCTGGAGCAGGTGCAGAGAAGAGCAGCGAGGCTGGGGAAGGGAGTGGAGCACAAGTGGTGTGAGGAGAGGCTGAGGGAGCTGGGGGTGTTGAGGCTGGAGAAGAGGAGGCTCAGGGGAGACCTCCTGACTGTCTGCAAGTCCCTGCCAGGAGGTTGGAGCCAGGTGGGGGTGGGGCTGTTCTGCCAGGAAGCAGCAGTAGGACAAGAGGGCTGGGTCTTGAGCTGTGCCAGGGGAGGTTTAGGTTGGATATTGGGAAGCAATTTTTTGTGAGAGAGTAATCAGGCCTTGGAATGGGCTGGGCAGGGAGGGGGTGGAGTCAGCGTCCCTGGAGGTGTTGAAGGTGAGAGTGGATGTGGCCTCAGTGCCATGGTCTGGGAAGCACGGCGGGGTTGGATCAGGGGTTGGACTTGATGATCTCGGAGGTCTTTTCCAACGTGGCTGATTCTGTGATTCTGTGATTGCCATTCCTATGGCAGCACATGCTTGAGGCTCTATCCCCAGGGTGATAGAGATGTCTGTCCATATCTATCTCCAAGGTTAGTCTGTAAATGTGTGGTGTTAGAAAAGCAGGCTAAGTTGTGGGCTGGTTGTAGAAGGAGAAAGAAGCCCAGAGGCCAGTGCAAGCAGGCAGCCCTCAGCTTGCACCTGATGTCCCCTCCCTGCAGGTTCCTGTCCTTGAGCCCAGGCCCTGAGGTGAGGCTGAGAAGTGGCGGGAGGTGAGCCCAGAGCTGTCCCTGAGGTGAGGCTGAGAATAAGTGCAAGGCAGAGGTGCTGCTGAGGAAGGAGAGCCCCGTGGTGGGGAAGACACAGAAGCTGTGTGTGCCCATCCCCGAGCAGGTGCTGTGTCCATCCCCTGTGTGCCAGGTGAGCTGGGGCTTTGCTGCAGAGCTGCGGGCGCTGATTTGAGCGTCTCCAAGTGCTGAGATGGTGGGCACCCAGGAACACAAACTGTGCCTGGCCACGGAGCCTGCAAGGAGGAGCAGAGACAGCCCTGGCAGTGTGGGGGGCCAGGTTGTCCCTGTGCCTTCCCCTGCAGGCCCTGTCTGTCCCTGCTGGGCCCCTGTCCATCCCCATCAGGTCCCTGCCCGTCCCCCCGGGCTGAGCTCCCCCCAGGAAGTGCCGTGGAGCTGAAGCTGCTGCCATCCCCCCCTGCAGCCGCTGCCCCAGCCAAGGGAGCAGCAAAGGCAGGGCCAGGAGCAGAGGCAGCAGCAGGGGAGCCCTGGGGGGGCCGGGAAGGTCTTGTGTGGGTCAGGAAAGAGGCGCTGGGCACGAGGCCGGGGCTGTGCTGAGCAGGCCCAGCCCTCACATCCCCCCAGCCAACGCCGGCTGCCCGGGGGGCTTGGGAGGGACCCCCAGCCCGTGTGCCCCACACTGAGCTGGCAGAGAGAAAGCCAAGGGACAGGGCCATTGCAGGGCCACGGGTGAGGGACAGGCAGGGCCATTGCAGGGCCACGGTGAGGGCACAGCCTGTGGCAGCAGAGCTGCCCAGGGCCGGGGGCAGCCGGGGGTGTTGGTACCAGCCAGTGCTGGGGCCGAGCAGAGCACGAGGCCTCTTGCAGAGCCCTGGAGCAGCCTCCCACTTGCCAGCCCTGCCCTGGTGGGGTGACACTGTCCCCTCCCTACAGGACACTCCCCCAGAACTCTTTGGGGGGGCCTTTTGTGTCTATTCCTGGTTGCTGATTCCTGCTGGGGACCTGAGGGAGCCTCTGCAATCCCATGCATGGGGCACAATCTCCTCTGCAGAGCTTGACCCACTGCAGACTTTGCAAGGAAATCTGTGCTGGCAGCCTGAGTATGTCCTGACCCCCCGTGCTCCCCCCAGGATATCTAGTACAAGTTTCCCATTCCCGGGCACCCATGGGATGGGGGGCAATTGTTTTCCTGCTGTTCCTGTTCTTGCTCCACCCCTGGGTGCTCTTGGGGGTGGGCAGGAGGTGTTTTTTGGGGGTGCTGGGCTGGGTTGGTGGCAGAGCCCCAGCGATGGGCGGGGGGATGTGGGTCCCCCCCACGGTGGGGGTTGGTGTTGCTGGGTCAGGCCCCGCCGGCTCCATTGTCAGCCCGGTGCCGGCGGGGGGGACACAGCGGGTTTGGGGCCCCCAGGAGTGCCGGGGGTGGGTGTGGAGCCCGGGAGCTGCCAAGTGTGGGGGGCGGAGCGGGGAGATGCCAGAGCTGGGGGATCCCCGGCAGCCTGGAGGGGGGAGCACGGAGAGGGAGGAGCCCCAGGACCCAAGGGAGCCTGAAACGGGGGGCGTGGAGAAGGGGAAACTTGGACAGTGGGGACCCCTGGGATCCCTGGGACAACAAAGTGGAAACCGTGGAAGGGGAGAATGTCTGGGAATATGGCACCCCGAAGGTGAGAGTCAGAGGAGAAGGAACTCTTGGGACCCCCAACACCCCAGAGGAGTCAGAGGGTCAGTCAGGGGAGACCCTCTGAACCCCAGAGGGAAGAGACCAGAGAGGAGGAATTTCTGGGAGAATTTTTTTGCACTGCATGTTCATAGTTTGGAGTATTTTTTGACTTAACTGTAACTTTTTGCAGTTTGGGGGGGCGAGGGTCTTCTTGATATTGTCTGAATCTTGGTGTTTTGGAGTGTTTTATGGTCACGGGATGCCCAGTGAGTTCTAGAGATGGACTTGGGCAGGAGGAACCCCCAAGCCAACGCACTCAGCCCTTGTTTTCCCCCCATCAGGATTTGTCCTTCCCAAAGCTTGGTCGGATGGAGGAGGAGGCTGCGAGGAAGAGGAAGATGCCTTGGTCCCCCCAGGCAGGTGAGGAGGAAGTCAGTGTCCCTTTGGGCGGGTGTTGTGCTGGCTCTGTCAGCCGAGCATGGCCCCGGCTGCAGGACAACCCCGCTGGCGCCGCCGTCCTGCCGGGGCCGGAGTTGGGGGGATGTCCTTGGCCTTCCCTGTGGGCCGGAGGCAAATCCCCTGCCTGTCCTTCTTGCTTCCTGCCCCAGGCCCCGAGGTGAGGACGGAGAGCCCGGAGGACAAATCCCCCCGTGAGACCCTGGTGGGAGAGGCCGTTTTGAAGGGCTCCCCGGCGCAGGAAGGCAGCGGGGAGGAAAAGGGCCGGAGATCCCCCCGCAGGAGGGGCTCCAAAGCCAGCCCAGGGTGCTCTGAGGAGGAAAGAGCCAGCCTGTGCCGGGAAGGTGGCCGGAGCTTGAGGGGGAGCTCTGACCTGGTGGTCCCTGAGCAGCCTCCCAGCAGGGAGAAGCTCTTCAGGTGCTTGGAATGTGGGAAGAGCTTCCGGAAGAACTCCCACCTCCTCATCCACCAGCACATCCACACTGGGGAATGGCCCTACATGTGTGAGGAATGTGGGAAGAGCTTCAGGCAGAGCTCCAACCTCCACAAACACCAGCGCATCCACACTGGGGAACGTCCCTACAAGTGTGGGGAATGTGGGAAGAGCTTCAGTGACAGCTCCAACCTGATCCGGCACAAGCACATCCACAGTGGGGAATGGCCGTACACATGTGGGGAATGTGGGAAGGGCTTCAGTTGCAGCTCCACCCTCCACACCCACCAACTCATCCACACCAGGGAACGGCCCTATCATTGTGGGGAATGTGGGAAGAGGTTTCAGACCAGCTCACATCTCCTGCAGCACGAGCGGACGCACACGGATGAGAGGCCCTTCCGCTGCACCGACTGCGGGAAGGGCTTCAACCGGAACTTCCACCTCGTCACTCACCGGCGCATCCACACCGGGGAGAGGCCCTACAAGTGTGGGGAGTGTGGGAGGAGCTTCACCCAGATCGGTAACTTCACCAAACACCAACGGACCCACCAGTAAGAGAAGCCCTTTGAGTTTCCCAACTGCGGGAAGAGCTTTGGCCAGCGCTTCCACCTTGAATGAACCCCCTGATGGTGAAGCAACCCCTGGAGTCCAGTGGCTGTCAGTCCATCCCTTTCCACCACAAAGGGCCAGTCCACTTTCCCAGGGACAAGTTCTTCCAACAGAACCCATCTTGGGGAGTGAGTTGAGATTCCTGCCTTGGCTGGGGACCCCCCCAAGATCACTCCTGGAGGTTGAGAGCAGAGGTCTCCCCACGAGCGTTGGTCTGGGGGAGTTCCATCCATCTCTAATTAAGAATTCTTGCTTTTGTGCCAGCTTGAGTAGAATTGCTTCAACAATTGCTTTAGTGTAGAGCACTGTCCTGTCTTATCCTGTACTCCTGGTAGTTTTAGTGTTTGTATTGTGCGGTAAATAATTGTGATGAAGATGTTTTGTCTGATCATTTGTAACCCTAAATAAATTCCTTTCTATCAATAGATCTGATTTGCCATCATTAAAGCTGGAGAACAAAAATGATTCAGTCACACCTCTGTAATTCCTTTGAATTGAAAATGTTGGCATAATTCAAGGCTGAGATTGGATCCATCAGCCCCCAGCACCCCACAGGAAGTTGGGAGCTTGGGGGGCCAGCCCCCTTTGCCAACCTGCCTGTGCCCAAAGACCCCCATGGGACCGTCAGACCCACCAGACCACCCCCCCTTTTCCACCCTTTTCCCTGTTTCTCCCATTTTCGCATTGTCCCCCTAATCCTAATTTTTCCCCCCGAACAGTTTTTGGGTCCAAATCACCACTTTTTGCTCCCTCTCCTGTGGGCACTGACGGAGAAAATGAGGCTGCACACACAGAGTTCCATTTCAGTACTTGTCCTCCCATCTTTCCGGCGTCCCCCTTTCATTGGGGTTCTTTTGGAAACAGTGCCTGGGCTTTGTCTTTTAGTCCACTGGAATTCCCAGCAGGGCCCCAAAGCAGTGCCCTGATCCCACACATTCCCCTCCCCTCATGTGCTGGCTGTGTTCAGCCACCAGAGAAAAACACAGGCTGCCATGCAGAGCGTTCCAAGTGGTTTCCACTTTGGCAAACAACCCTCTCTGGATGGAAAACACCAGTCAAGGCCAAAACACTCCTTGTTGATCCTGATTAATTGAGAGTTGCAGCTCCTGCCTTAACTTGTTCCCATAAAAATTCTCAGGGTTCCTTTGCTTCCAGGAGGCCCCACATGTCCCAATGGCCCCTGGATTCCATGAACTTCCACAGTCTCCAAAGGTTCCTTTAGTTCCATGAGGCCCTGCAGTCCCCAAATGCCCTTTGGATTCTCGGAGATTTCCCACTGTCCCAGGGTCCCTTGTGCTTCAGAAGGAGCTGCAGTGGGACAGTGGCCCCTTGGTTCCGTGAGCTCTGCAGTGTTCCAGGAATCCTTGGGTTCCAGGAGAGCCTGCAGTTTCACAAGGAGCACTTGAATGCAGGAGGTTCTGCAGGGTCCCAATGGCCCCTGGATTCTGGGAGGTTCAGAAATATCTCCGGGCTCCCTTGGTTCCAGGAGGACACACATGTCACCAGGAACCCTTGGTTCCAGGAGGTTTGACAGTGTCCCAGAATTCCTTTGATTTGATGAGGCCCTGGATTGTCCCAATGGACTCCTGATTCCATCAGCCCTCTCAATGTCCCAATGGTCCCTTTGTTCCATGAGTTTCTGCAGCGTCCCAGGGTTCCTTTTGTTCCATGGGGAGCTGCAGTGTCACAATGGGCCCTGAATTCCAGGAGTTTTCCCAGGGTGACAGTGCTGCCTTGATTCCATGAGATTCCATAGTGTCCCAGGGCTCCTTTGGCTCCAGAAGGCCCTGCAGTGTCCCAGTGGTCCTTGGTTCCATGAGGTTCCACCATGTCCTTGCTGGAACATGCGTGGCTGTAATGCTGCCCCACCTGCAGAGCTGCCTCCAGCTCTGGGCTCCAGCACAGGAAGGACATGGACCTGTTGGAGCGAGTGCAGAGGGGAGCAGCAAGAGGATCAGAGGGATGGAGCAACTCTGCTGTGAGGAAAAGAATGAGAGAATTGGGATTGTTGAGGCTGGAGAAGAGAAGTCTTTGGGGTGACCTAATTGTGGCCTTCTGGTGCCTCAAGGGAGCCAACAGGAAAGATGGAGAGAGACTTTGGACAAGGGCCTGGAGTGACAGGACAAGGGGCAGTGGCTTCACACTGAGAGAGGGAAGGGTTAGAGGAGATAATAGGAAGGAAATCTTTAGTCTAAGGGTGCTGAGATTCTCTTGAAGGCCCCTCCCAAGCCAAAGCATTCCATGATTGTGGGACTGGTGGGTGAGGTGGTGGTTGGAGCCGTCTGGGGCACAGGGACACAAAATGAGGGAGTTTTCCATTGTGGGGGAAGGAAGGAGGGGGCAGCAGAACTGACCCCTTGGACACCTGGCAGGCAGGCTTTGGCTGGAAGCTGGTGATGGGGAGCTGAGTGAAGCCCCCACAATGCAGGAGGAAATGGTCAGTGACCTGCTCTGCCAGTGAGACCCCCCCAAGTGCCTGGGCCCACATGGGATGCAGCCAAGAGTCCTGAGGGAGCTGGAGAAAGAGCTGGCCAAGCCACTCTCACTCATTCCCCAGCAGTGCTGCACAACTGCACAAGTCCCAGCTGACTGGCAACAAGCAAATGGGATGCCCATCCCCAGGAAGGGCCAAAAGGAGCATCTGGGCAACTCCTGGCCTGTCCCATTGACCTCAGGACCGGGGAAGTCCACGCAGCAGATCCTCCTCAGTGCCATCCCATGGCACGGGCAGGACAACCAGGAGATCAGGCCCAGCCAGCGTGGGGTTGGGAAAGGCAGGTCCTGCCTGACCAACCTCATCTCCTTCTCTGACCAAGGACCCGCTCAGTAGCTGAGGGAAAGGCTGGGGATGTGTCTCTCTAGATTCAGGAAAGCCTTTGGCACCATCTCCCCCAGCATCTCCTGCACAAACTGGCTGCTCATGGCTTGCCGGGGGAACTGTTTGCTGGGTGACAAAGTGGCTGATGACCCAGGGAGTGGTGGGGAATGGAAGGAAATCCAGGTGGGGGCGGTCACTAGTGGGGTTCCCAAGGGCTCAGGGTTGGGGCTGCTCCTGTTTAACATCATTCTTGATGGTCTGGGCCAGGGGATCGAGTGCCCCCTCAGGAAAGTCGTGGACAACACCACGTTGGGTGTGAGTGTGGATGTGCTGGAGGGCAGGAAGGCTCTGCAGAGGGATCTGGACAGGCTGGATCAATAAGGCCAAGTGTCAGGGCCTGCCCTTGGCTCCCAACAACCCCCTGGAAGGCTCCAGGCTGGGGGCAGAGGGGCTGGAGAGCTGCTCAGCAGGAAGGGACTTGGGGGTGCTGCTTGACAGCGGCTGGATATGAGGCAGAGTGTGCCCAGGGGGGCAAGAAGGCCAAGGGCATGGTGGCCTTTGTGGAGAAGAGTGTGGCCAGCAGGAGCAGAGAACTGATTGCCCCTCTGTGCTGGGCACTGGGGAGGCCCCACCTGGAGTGCTGTGTCCAGTTGTGGCCCCTCAGTGCCAAAAGGCCCTGGAGGGGCTGGAGCGTGTCCAGAGAAGGGAACGGAGCTGGGGAAGGCTCTGGAAAACATGTCTGCTGAGGGACGGCTGAGGGAACTGGGCTGGTTGAGTGTGGAGAAGGGGAGGCTCAGGGGGGACCTCATTGCTCTCTGCAATGACCTGAAAGGAGGTTTTAGTGGGGTGGGGGTTGGTCTCTTCTGCAAAGCCTTTAGTGACAGGAAGAGAGGAAACAGCCTGAAGTTGCATCAGGTGAGGCTTAGATTAGATATTAAAAAACCCTTTTTCCACTGAGAGAGTGTTCAGGCATTGGAACAAGTAGCCCAGGGAGGTGGTGGAGTCTCTGGAAGTGTTCAGGTGTGTGGTGGGTTGACATTGGCTGGACACCAGGTGCCCTCCCAGCTGCTCTATCACTCCCCAACAGGACATGGGAAAGAGTAAGGCGGGAAAAACAAAATAGTGGGTTGGGATAAGGCAGTTTATTTAAAGCAAAAAGCAGAACAAAGCTTGTGCACACAGAGGCCAAAGACAGCAGGGTTTGTTCTCTGCTTCCCATGAGCAGCCATGGTCGGCCACTCCCGAGGAGCAGGGCTTGGGTCCGCGGGACGGTTCCTCAGCAGGCAGCCATCAGACAATGAATGCCCCCCTCCTGCTCCCTGCCTCAGCTTTTAGAGCTGAGCTGACCTCCCATGGGCTGCAATGTCCCTTGGCTCAGTTGGGCTCAGCTGGCCTGCTTGGGTCCCCTGCCAGGCTCTTGCCCTCAGCTAAGGAAGGAATGTCCCAGTGTTGGTGCTGTGCTCAGCAGTGGCCAAAACACTGGGGTGTTCTCAACCCCCTTCCAGCTGCCAATGCCAAGCCCAGCCCTGGGAGGGCTGCTGTGGGGAACTGAACTGCAGCTCAGCCAGACCCAACCCAAATATCTATGGCACATGTTCTATAGAATCCATCCTTAGATGTTGTATGATAGATCTATAAGATATTACAAATAATAAGCAATAATAAGGCAAGTGTCCTCCTTAGGGACACACACACAGCCCCCCCAAACTCCTGCCTGGGTTTGTTCCCTGGGGGTCTCTGCAGCAGCAAGCACAGCCCCACACTGACTGCTCTGGGCTGTGCAGGCATTTGTGGTTCTGCCTGTCTCACACACCCCCCAACCTTGGGATGGATCTGGATGTCACTGGATGTGATGTCACAGGAAGGATGTGATGTCACAGGAAGGATGTGATGTCACAGGGGAGGACATGATGTCACAGGGATGATATGATGTCACAGGAGAGATGTGATATATGATGGATGTGACGTCAGCTGTTGTGACACTTCAGGGTCTCATGGAACCAAAGGAACCCTGGGACAGTGAGGAACCTCATGGAGTCAAGGGCCTATTGAGACACTGCGAAGCTCATGGAACCAGAGGAATTCTGGGAGAGTGTGGAACTTCATGGAATCAAAGGGCCATTCTGACACTGGAGGGCCTCCTGGATCTGAAGGAAACCTGGGAGACTGCAGAATCTCATGGAATCAAGTGGCCAGTGTGACATGGGGGACCTCCCGGAAGCAAAGAAACCCTGGGACATTTTGGAACTTCATGGAATCGCTGGGCCATTGTGACACTGGGAAACCTCATGGAATTGTGTGGCCATTGTGACATTGCAGGGTCTCATGGAATAAAATGAAACCTGGGACAGTGGGAAACCACATGGGATCAAGGGGTGCCTGTGACCCTGCAGGACCTCATGGAACCAAGGGAAGCCTGGGACACTGAGGAAACTCGTGGAACCAACTGGCCTTTGTGACCCTGCAGAATTGCACGGAATCAACAACCCATTGTGACACTGCAGGGCTTCATGGAACCAAAGGAATCCTTGGACACTGTGGAACCTCATAGAAACAAAGGGCCATTGTGACACTCCTGGGCCTTGTGGATCCAAAGGAATCTTGGGATGCTGTGGAACCTCCCAGAATCAAGGGGCCATTTTGACCCCGTGGAACCTCATGGAATCAACAGTCCATTCTGAGTCTGCAGGGCCCAGGGAAGCAAAGGAATCCTGGGATACTGTGGAATCTCACAGAATCAAGGGACCATTGTGACCCTGCGGAGTCTCATGGAGATGAAGAAGCCCTGGGAGACTGGAACTTCACGGAATCAAGGGACCGTTGTGACAGTGCAGGTCCTCATGGAACCAAGGGAAAAGGGGGACACTGTGAAAACTCATGGCATCAAGGGGCCATTTTGACATGCAGGGCTTCCTAGAACCAAAGGAAGCCTGGGACGTTTGGGATCGTC